AATGCAAAAACAGAGAAGGGGAAAGAGGTTTCGCCAGGGAAAAAAGCAAAAGGAGGAGAGAGAAGGTGATTGAAGTAATTTGGAGATTTTTGATTGGCAAAGTTTTTATGTTATGTTATATCCGAAAAATGATTGTACTATTATTATCTAAGTGATATTATGTTATAGATGTTCTAATTATATCTGTTGTATCAAAGTTTTTGTCTGTTATGTTATAATAGTTCCGATTGCACTCACCTAATTTATGAATATTATATCTGCTTTATTTTAAGGTATTGCTTTCATTGTGATTTTATTTTGTCTAATATAATCGAATCATGTTTAGAACACATTGTTTGAATATAGTTGAAATCATATTCAAATATGATCTCAACGGTAAACAAAATTTGATTCTAGCATACTTTAAATATAGTTTGTTGTCAAATATGACATATTTTTTATTATGAAAGGAATTTATATTATTGTTTTAATAAATAAAATATTTGACATGTTTCTTCACTTTGAAAGCTTATAGAATATATAAAGTCAATTTTGCTGTATTTTTTTTAACTGCTATTTTTAATCATTCTTAATTTACTAGCTCATTTTCCTACTATTTTGTATTCTTTTTTTTGGGAATATTTGGGGCGACAGCCCATTTTATAAACTAAGTAAACAAATTACAGGAGTAAAAAAGATCATTTGCAACCAACAAAAGAGGAGCAAATGACAAAACTAACAGCCAAGGCTGCAGAACAAGCAAAACCTATAAGAAGTAAAGAAAATAAAGAATCACAGATTTGCAGAGATACGATGAGGACTCAGCGCAATCCCAGAATACAGTGAGCTAGCCAAAATCATCCAAGAGGATGAACTGATCCCCTGGTTGCCAAAAAGGCCCCGATCCCAGGCCGTCCAAGGGGAGAATAGGATTGCCATCATCATCGTCCTTCAAAACGCCAGTCGCTGGTTGCCAAAAATGACCGTCCAGAGACGCCAAAAATCGGAGATTGTTAGGAGGGGTGGTCCAGCAGGCCTTCCAATCCAAAGAGGCCAGAGTCAGGAAGCCAAAATATGCATAGAGCTGAAGCATTTCTTCTTATAGCATTTGAGGTAAACAGCCCTTTTGATTTTCAAAGCAATGCTAGCATGACTTTCAGCAGATTCACCAAAAATCCGGTCGTTTCGAGCTTTCCAGATGAAATAGACAATAACAGAGATTAAAAGGAAGCAGAAATTCTTCCTATTACTGTCAGTTTCCCTATCATCAATATCGTTAAAAACCTGCCAAATGTTCGGTTGAAGCAGCATGAAGTTCATCCTAGGCATGAAGCTCTTGAGGATGTTGAAAGAGAAATCGCATTGGAAGAACAGATGGTCAGAGGTTTCTCTTTCAGTATTACAAAAAATACATATAGGGTTAACAGAGATGTTTCTAGCGATCAGAGCATCAGCCGACTTGAGACCCTTTTTAAAAACAAACCATGAGTATAAAGAAAAGCGCAAAGCACAATTTTTATACCATACAAATTTGTACCAGGAAACCACATCATTCCCATCATAATAATCTTTAATGAAGTTTTTGAAAGACGGTTTATCAGGTTTAGCCCAGCAGCAATCTTGTAAATCAAAACAAATAGGGACAGACTGGATGACAGCAGCAATAGGTGGAGGGATATACAGAGGCAAATTCCAACCTCCATTAGAAATGAAGCTGCTAGTAGTGAGGTGAGTATGGCTAGAGGGGATACCCAAATTAAGTTCCCTAAACCTTTCCGCAATGGATTTGCCAAGACACCAGGGGTCCCAAAGGAAAGATAGATTGCTGTCTTGCGTAATATTGAAATTAAGGGAGCGAACCATGCAGCTAGCCACATTAACAATGGCTTTCCAATACTGAGATCTTTTCAAATTGCAAGAATTCCATATAGACCCATATTTAATTTTCCACCACTGAAACAGATAGTTATAGGAAGTATAAAATCTCCAAACAGTCTTGCAGCAAGAGGCAAAAAGCATAGCCTCAACCGTGTAGATACCCAAGCCACCATACAGTTTGGGCATACAAGTCCCCTTCCACGAAACCATGTGCAGACCTTTCTTGTCAACATCTCCAAAAAATAAGAATTTGGAACAAAGACTATTGATAATTTTAACACAGGTTTTAGGAATGATGGTCCCTCTCACCCAGTAAGCCAGAATGTTACACACAGTGTATTTTAAAAATTGCAAGCGACCTGCTAGAGAGAGGCTTCTAGCTTTCCACCCATCCAAAGAAGTCCTGATTTTACAGATAAGCGGCTGGAAATCAACATTTTTTAATCTTTTGTGGAAGATGGGAATGCCCAAATATTTGATTGGGGTAGTGGAGGGTTGGATGTTAAGGGTGGTGCAGATAGGTTGCTCAGTAGCCACATTTTTGGAGAAAAGGATGGTGCTCTTGTTGCTATTAACAACCAATCCAGAAATTTTGCCAAAATTATCCAACAGATTCTTAAGAGCAATGGCATTATCATGAGAGGCCTTGGCAAAAACAAGGAGATCATCAACGTAGAGAAGGTGAGAAATCTTAAGGTTACCAACCGTCATACCCTGTATAGAATTAGTATGGGTAGCTTCCTCAAATAAAGAAGAAAGGCAATCCATGACAAGGCAAAACAGATATGGTGATAGCGGGCAGCCTTGTCTTAATCCGGAAGATGAATTGAAATAACCTTCAAGAGCCCCATTGATTATAATAGAGAAATGCACATCAGTAATGCAACCCTGGATCCAAGTGACAAATTGAGGAGGAAAACCTTTAGCAAGCATACGGCCAAGCAAAAATTCCCTCGAGACCGTGTCAAATGCCTTATGAATATCAAACTTTGCACAAAAAAACTTTTCCTTAGCATTGGAGTTGAAATCTTTAAGAAGCTCATCAGCAAGTAAGATGTTGTCAGAAATAATACGATCCATAACAAAACCAGATTGACTAGGATGAATAATGGAAGGCATGACATCCTTCATCCTATTAGCTAAGATTTTAGCAATAATCTTGTAGAAAGTGTTGCAAAGTGAGATAGGCCTAAAGTCAGAAATATCTTGAGCATGGGGCCGCTTAGGAATTAAAGCAAGCGCAGTTGCTTTAGCATGATTAGGCATGGATCCAGTAGAGAAGAAATTCCAAACCGCCTCACAAACTTGTATGCCAATAGTGTTCCACGTGGATTTATAGAATTCAAAGGTGTAACCATCAGGTCTAGGTGCAGAACAGTTGGGAGAAGAGAAAATGGCATTTTTTATCTCATCCACGGAAATAGGAGATATCAGGCGTTGAGAGTGGTCTTCAGTAAGCTTAAGGTGAATAGGGGTCTCCCAAGAAGATAAGGTGGCCTGCTGATTAGTGTTGAAGAGCTTTTGAAAGTGATTAATAGTAGCATGACTAATCTCAGAGGGATTATAGTAAGTACCATCAGCAGTGGTAATGCATTTGATGAGATTAGAATTGTGTCTAACATTGATCCTTGAGTAAAGAAACTTAAGGTCATCTTCACCATTAGTTAACCAATTAACCTTAGCTCTTTGAAGAAGCCAACCCGACCAATCCAAATTTTTTAAAGCAAGGCTATGATTGGTGTCTTTCAAAGCCAAATTGAGACCCGGATCAAAGGAGAATCCTGTAACATGCTAAGAAGAGAGTTTTGTTTGTTAACAAGCTCAAAAATTTCCTGAGAAAGAGAATTAGAAGATATCCAGTGTTTGCCTTTGATACTAAGCTTCAGAGTTTTGAGCTTTTGTAGAAAAGCATTGATAGGGCTGCTGTGATACCGTTGAGAAAAAACATCAATGAGAGCATCCCAGAATTCATTTTTTGACAGCCAATAATTCTTAAACAGGAAACGATGCTTGTGATGCTGAAAATGGTTATATTGAAGAATGATGGGGGAATGATCTGAAATCTGTGGATCATCAACAACATAGTAAGAGTTAGGATAAGTGCAGAGCCAAAGATCATTCACAAGCATCCGATCAAGCTTAATATGAATCGGGCTATCCGTTCTTTGGTTAAACCAAGTGAAATAATGTCCCACCGAGCTAAGATCATGAGTGCCAGTATTAAAAATGAGGTTATTGAAGTCAGCCACTTTGCTATTGGAAAGTAAAGATCCACCAGCTTTTTCATTAGAAGACCTACAACAGTTAAAATCTCCTAAAATAATCCAAGGGATAGAAATATCAGCAGCAATGTCAATAAGATCCCTCCAAAGAGCTTGCCTTTCAACCATAGAATTAGAAGCGTAGATCACAGAAACACAAAAAGCCACAGTAGAACCAGTATAGACAGTGCCATGTATCAGTTGACTGGAGGTAAAAGAAGGCGTAAAACTCACTTTCAGAGAGTTCCACTTAAGCCAAATCCTTCCCGGAGCAGAGCAATGAAAATTGTCGTATGAGCCTTCATGAGGAAAAACAGAGTGCGAAGAGAGAAACCAGGGGCTGGGAGAAGAGGGTATTGTTATTCTAGGTTCCAAAATGCAAAGAAGATCAATTTTGAATTTTTTGATAAGGTTTTTGCAGCAAATGGCTTTGTCAGGGCTGTTAAACCCCCTTGTGTTCCAGGCTGCCAAAATAGGGAGACCAGTCATTAGGACTTGGTGGAGGGGGTGGTGGCCTTTTTGACCGTTTTTGCTCTTGTGGCTTTTGTAGAAGAGTTTGTAGATGTTGAGTGCGAGGAGGATGACGGTTTTTCCTTGGAAGTGTTAACTTTCAGAGAAATGTTGGGGTTGTGTGATTTTCCAGCCACATCTTCATGAGGCGGGGAGTTCGGCGGTAGTGTGGTGGTATCACAGTCAGAAGCCAACTCCTGGTCAGACAGACTATTTTGTATTCTCCTATTTAGCTTTAATTGGGGTACGACTCTTATCATTTGATTAATAATAATAAAAAAAAATCAGGTTGCCCAATCTTTACTGAGCCGGTGAGACCTACTTTTTAGCCAAGGACTGCAATAATAAGTGCTCGCATTAGCTTGATATGTTGGAAATGGAGTATGTGGGCCTCGCATGCACTTTGGTTGCCTGATAGAACCGTCCTCTTTGCACGGCGAACAATGAATGCTACATAAATTCATTCATTGATATAGCTACTTTAAAGCATTATCTTAATCATGTTACTTATTGCCAGTCTAAACAATTAAAAGGCATAGTTTTGCTGTACAAGCTGAAAGCTTTCTGTTCATTTCCCCAGAAAAACAAAAGCTTTCTGTTCCCTCCTTGTTTTACAGCATTTGGGAGGGATTACAGTGCAGGAATTCTGAAGCATATCTGAAAAAAAAGTGAGCGCTTCTCTAATCTCTCTCAGTTTTCTTTATGTGTAAATTTGCTGTTGATAATCTTTATTATCACTTGTTTTGATAGGCAGGACAGACGAAGAAGAGTGAAGACTCAGAATAGGAGAAAGACGGGTGCTGAAAAGAGCAGCCCCGTGCTTTTCCTTGCTTCTTCATTTCTTTGTAGCTACTGAGGAATCGGCGAATCTCGAGATCACGCGGAGCTGGCTATTGTGGGTTTCGATTCCTTGTACCAAGTGGTAAGACTTCTCCTTTTTCTCCCTTTCAATTGCCATCATTTGTTTCTTTTAAAAAAAAAAAAAAAATAAATAAAATAAAATCATGGGCAGAAATTCTGTACGAAAAATGCGCATTTCTTCCCTTTTTTTGTTTATCTTGAATCTGCGAGCAATGGAGCTCGTTGGAGCTCGTTGCGACTTTGTTTGAGTATGGAGGATTGGTAGGTTTCATCTTCCTTTTGCGGATTAGTGAGCTCCATTGCTTATATATGTTTTCTGGTGGTGAAATGAGGACCTTGGTGAAGTTTCCGTTGCCCTCCTCTAAAAATACCCTTTCATCTTCCTCTAATTAGTTTTCCTGCAAGAGGTGCAAATGCAGATGCCTTTTCCTATTTTATTGTTTATCTTGTTCTATATCCTACTATTCTGCACATTGGTCAGATATTATTTCCGTAGAACATTGGTATTCGGCAGGATCATTTTTTTTGTCAGAAAATTAACACTTCTTCTGTTTTACCTTCTTCTTAATTCATGAAAATTTTGAATTCAGATTGCTTATTGCAGCTCAGTTGTTTAAAGTAGGAAGCCCCCCGTCATGCTAAAGCTCGTTAGTGATGGTTTTTTCTCTTTGTATCCAGAATGAATTTCTGGGCAGAACTGAATCGCCATCATTATAAGTTTCCTGAAGGCGCGTCAGTGAAAAAGCTTTGTCAAGCTTGTTTTCTTTCATTTACTCATGATTTACTGCTATTGTTTTAATGAATATTGAATGATAATGATAACTAGTTGTCTTTTGGTCCTCATTTTCTGTTTTAGTACAGAACCAAGATCTTTTGAGTTGTTCTTTAATACCTTTTTTTTTTCGTTAACTATGTGTTGTGCGTGTATTGTCTATTCTCTCTGCAGAATTTACCGTGTTCACTAATTTCTGCAGGTCAATTTTGAGAGGCATTTGGTGTAGTTTTGACATCAGTATGTGGGGTTGGACATGCTCAAGCCAAGGGAAGCTGATATACCTGTTCTGTTTGTGGTGTTAATTGTGCTGCCTATCGTCACTTACATTTTACTTGGAAAATGGAATGAGGCTTCAAAGAAGAAGACCAAGATAAGTATGCTTGCACAGATAGTATCTGAAGAAGCCCTTAGAATAGAAGCTATAGCACCAGCTGATGTTCTACCAGTAGTTCCTTCTTTGAAGAGTAGCACTCATGTGTGTGCTAAATGTTTTGCCCTTGCTACAACTCGCTGTTCCAGATGCAAGTCTGTTAGATACTGGTATGATGAGCATGCTAACTTTGATTCTTTTATTCTTTTCATTTTACCAAGAGTCTCTCTCTTGGCTTGTTTCCTTCTTGACTATCTTTAATTACTTTGTTCACATTCTTAAATCCATTTATTTCATGTTTGTGGAAAACGCTTTTGCTTTACTTTTCATATATAAATAGATACTAATAGATATTGCTGAGTGGTTCAGCGGGGACATGATTAGCAAGTCATCTGAAATGATAGATGGGATAAAATTTGCTGCGAAAATCTAAGGGATTTGTTCTTTTTAGAGATTTGATCAGGCACGCACCGTTTATTTACATTTGTTACAAAGGCGCAAAAAAGCTTTCACCATTTTGCAATCAGCTGGGAGGTTGATTTCTTGTTACAAGGGCTCTGTCTACGATAATATTTTTAAGCATTTCTAAGTGCATGGTGCTTATGAAATATTGCATGTCCAGGTAGGTAACATAGAACCGAGGTGCTCATAGCATCAATCAAGTTTACTTGATTTTCTGACGTAGGTAGATAAGATCCCTTGGTCTATCAACAGAAGAACCAAAGTGAGTACCAAAAGTTTGTGTAATGCATGCCTGGTTCCACAGAGGTCAAAGACACATGATGGAATGGAAAATGAAATTGGAATGAGTAATGGAAAATGTTAATTTTCGTAAAATCATGATGCTTGTAATGTTAATAGAAGGAAATATAAAAACAATTGCTGTTTTAAGATTTAAATCAATCGTTTCAAATCAATTATTAAATGTCGAATTGCCAAAATTTCCTTACATTTCTTTCAACTTCTTGTTCTCATTACATATTCTTAAAGCAACTTGACACCCTTTTTATGAATACTACTATACTAATATAAATCTGTGCGTAGAATCGGTGTCTAAATTTATATTTAGTAACTAATGCTGTAAAAAAGGTGTGTTAAATTAATGATCTTCGTAGATGCCATTATTTGACTTAACCGTTTTATTATGAGTAAAATGTTTTATCTCTAATTAAAAGTTCTTATATTTGATAAATATTATGTTTTGATGACAATTCTTTTATTTAGTAAAATATCTTGTATTTGAGTAACAAAACATTTATATCATAATCTTATGTCTTGGTGAAAGAGCTTGATACGTCACAAAATATCTTCTTGATCAAACATGAATCGTGAAGCATATTCAAGTTAAAAACTTTCGAAATTAAATTTGGGAACATCCAAACTCAAATTTCAACAAACTTATAGTCAAATTGAACGTCTTGAAGAGACAAACCCAACCACACCAAAATCAGTACAATCTGAGCCCAAATGGGCCAAAATCGGTACAATATGAGCCCAAATGGGCCAAAATCAAGGAGCCGAAGCATATTTGGAAGCTCCAAAGCATTAATTGGATGACCAAATGATATCCAAATATGACATGCTTATAGTTTAATCGAGCGGCTTGACGAGACGAATCTAGCGAGACCATGATCATTTAATTTTGAAATCATTAAGTCACTTAAATGTTGAGTGGATGATCTATGATTAATGGAATCAATATGGATTGGTTGATAGAGCTCTCTAAATTTTCCTTGGATCTTCTCTATATTTATGGAGCATGCCAATCTCAAAATCTATAAATAGTACATGAAGGAGACTTTTGAAGGCTTGGGCCATGGGTTGAAGACCCAAGAGAGCTCTGAAGTTCGAAAAGTTTCGAAGCTCCACCCAAGCACTACGGCTTACGAATCCTCGCCACTCGGCCACTGCTGTTGGAACTCTATTATGCCTCCATAGTTGGGTCTCCGCCCGACCTCCATCATCCACTGACTACAGTCTCTACGACCTCTTTCACTGATAGTGGTTGCTCCGACCTTTGTCGCCCGCTGACTATGGTTCCTCCGACCTCAATTGCTTGACCACAGTCCATTCGATCTTCGTCTCCTGACTATGGTATCTTTGACCATAATTGCTTGCTAACTACAGTCCCTTCGACCTACGTTACCCAATAACAGTCCCTCCAAACTCTGTCTCTCGATAACAGTCACCTCGACCTCCGTCTTGCTCGATTGCAGCCTCTTTGACCTCCCTCAACTGACTACGGTCCCTCCTACCTCCCTTGCCGGTCGACTAAAATCCCTATGACCTTTGTCACCCTAGAACGATCCCTTTAATCTCAGCTGCTCGACTACAGTCCCTTCAATCTCTGTTGTCCGACTACAGTACCTTTGACCTTTGTCACCCAACAGCCCGATTACTGTCCCTTCGACCTCCATCGCTCGAATATAGTCCCTTCAACCTCCATCGCTTGACTACAGTCCGTCCAACCTCCATTGCCCAATTACGGTCCCTCCAACCATAGTCGCTGACAGACTATGATTCTTCTGACCTCTATTACTCGACAACAATCCCTTCGACCTCAGTTGCCCGATTACGGTCCTTCTGACCATAGTCACTCGTCAACTACAGTCCCTTCAACCCTGCCGCTTAACAACGGTCCCTCCGAACTCCATCGCTCGCACAGGTACCTTCGACCTCCATCGCCCGCACCCGGTCCCTTCGACCCTTGTCGCGTGACTATGGTCATTCTAACCTCTGTTGCCTAACTACGGTGCCTTCAACCTTATTAGTGAGACTACGGTCCATTGGGCCACCATCATCTGACCACGACTCTACTGACCAAACAAAAAAGTTAATATTCTCTTGAGAATAATTCTTATGCCATGGGATTCTTCCAACTCCGACCATAAAACATGCTCTTCATAATGTATATTTACATGTCATGTCAATGCCTTCCTCCGAGGAAGGGCATCATTTGTAACCAATAACAAACATTAGTGAAATCATTTTAACTGGATAAGATTTCATGGTTTTTCCTCTTTTAGGATTTCCATGTAAAAATCATAGTTTCTCTTCTGACTTTTACATCCCTTTCTATACTGTCGTGAATATTCCGGCACATAGCAAACCATATTTGATTAGTCCTTGTATCCAAAACTAAGTCCTTGTGTTATAACAACCATATTTTAATAAGTTATTTTTTTAGTATAAAAATCTTCTATCTAATAGTAAGATTCTTGCCCATATATTTTCTATTATTAACTAATGGTTGTTGATGCAGCCTCATTTAAAGCTATGATCTATTTGGGAAGCATTGCATTACTCTTTTTATTCAATATTTTCCTCTAATTGCTTGGTTGAAATATATATTTATGGTTCATCGTAAATTTCTCATTGGTTATTATTAAAGTTTGTTAGAATGTTTAATTTAGTCTCTTATTAAATTGATAAAAAATATTGTAGAAATAACAAATAGTTTCCCTAAGCCATAAGCTTAAGCTTTTGTATTGAATGTGGTTTGAACTCTAGTGTATTTGACCCAACTTTAATTTCACTTTGGTACTCATTCTTAAAAATTAGGGCAGACAAAATGGGTCAACGACTTGAATTTGAGTTTGGCTCGAAATTGATATGACTTAAATATGGTCAATCCGAACCTAACTCGTTTAATATATTTGGCCAAAAAAGTGGACTCGAACACGACCTGCTAGTAACCCGAACACGATTCGATAAACCATTTTAAATAAAAATACTTTTATTAACTTGTTAATCATAGATATAAGATTAATTGATAAAAATGAGAAGATAATACTAACAAATAAAATAATCTAATGAAAAAAATATTAAAAAAGTTTTTTTTGGTCAAAATCAGGTTGATGGCTCAACCTGAACTCGACCTGTTTAATAAATAAGTTCGAATACATGACTTGAACCCAACCCAGTTATTAAACAGGTTAGCCTGAACCGTTTATTAATTGAATCAACCCGAACCCGAATTTTTTGGATCAGATTGATGGGCCAGGTCATTTGTTGACAACCCTATTAAAAATTGGTATCAGAGATGATTCTTTGGCTAGGATCAAGTTGCCCATGCTATTTTTGGCTTATAAGTCATCGACTGTATGACATCGTAGACGAGCAAAGTTACTTACGCAACAATTAAATAAAGTTCAAGAGTGCGTGACTCACATGAAGGTGATATGGTTAAGTGTGTTCTTGCTACGTTATATTTAATGGTGTTAAAAAGTTCTTATTTGAAAGGAGTGATTGTTGATGTGGAGAGTTCTCATTTAAAGGGGAGATTGTTAAGGTATGTGGGAGTATTGGGCTTAGTCTCGTATTGAATCATTGAAAAATGTATTCATATAGAAATATCTAGTGTTTGACCATTGGTGTATTAGGCCTAATTTTGATTTCTCTTTGTTTCACACTCGCTATCTATTATAATTGTTTTATTATTGTATTATTATTTCTTACCAATAAAGTCCATTTCTGTCCAAAATTTCAAATGCCAAATTACCATATTAGATCAAATGACAGTTAGCCTATTTTGAATTCATTATTTGCTATAAATGCATAAGATTATCTTGCATTGACTAAATTAAGCATCATTGTCATTGTATACCTAGAAACTAGAAAGATCGGGGACCATTTATTATAAATCTAAACTTAATAACAAAGGGATTGTGTCCGAGGAAGTTGAGAGCATTGTTGAAGTGTATCAAAGTATTTTCCTTCAACTTGAGGTTAGTTTGAATTTCCAGGTATTCCTTCTGTAATTTCGTCTTGGTATAAGTCGTGCATTCATTTCGGTTGTGTTGTATTTGGGACATGTCGGTTACATTTATCACATGGTTTATTATTCAAAATTTCTTTCCAAAAAGGATGTTCAGGGTTGTGTATTATTCTTGCCTGTTTACTTAGTAATCCTCTTTGATTTAGGTTTGTTATGCATTTAGAGTTTATCATACTTCAGAAGTTATCTTCATGACATGTTCGCAGTTCAGGGAAATGCCAAATATTACACTGGAGGCAGGGGCATAAACAAGAATGTCAGCAATGGCAAACTGGTATTCTGAATAATTTTACTGGTCCTGTCCCTACTGCAGATTCTGTTCATAGAGGGTCCTTGACAGCAGGCCCGCGAGAGTTTATTGGAAATGATACCGAGGGACATCCAATATTTTCTGATTTCTCCGATGAGGCATTTTACTGGAAAGCAGACTCATCCCTTGATCCACAAATCGAAAGGAAGTCGCAAGATCATGTTAAGAGAGCTCGAGGTAAACTGAAAAGAGAAATGTTGGCAAATGATGGTGAAAGTATTTTTACAGGGACCGGTATCACTTGTGCTGATGCTCAATTGTTGGGTGTGAGTTCAGAACTCTCCACAGGCAATTTTCTTAAAGATGCTACATTCAAAGTTGAGCTTTTTATAATTTTTCTTTCCCTGCTGTGATTCACTAATTATTAATAAGCTTACGACCCTTCATTTAAATATCTTGCTTATCCCTCTTGTGGTTCAGTTAGGACCTGGAAATTTTCCTGCAACCGATGAAGATCATGGATATGATATACAAGGCATTCAAATTCATACCAGTCTATCCAGTGCCCGAAATTCTTTCTCTGAGTTCCAAAATATTACAGATGAAAATAAGAGATTACATGATCCAAAAAGCCCCACTAACCTTTCAGAGAAAACATTTGATCTACCACAAAAATCAACAGAGGAAACAATTATCACATCTAGGCACAGATACTCCAGTGGCCCTTCTGAAAAATCGAAAGATAGAATTGAAACTGGGAAAAAGTATATTTCAAATAAAGTTGGTCATGAAGATGGATCTCCCTCTTCCTATGAGATGACAGGCTTGGCCTCATCAGCTGAAGTGAAATCAGTTAAAGGAAATGACATGTACAAAAAGGCTCCATACAAACTGGATCCTCTTAAAACTTCAGCAACAGTGCCAAGTCAATGCCAATCTCAAACTGAAAAAAGAAAAAGCCACAAAGAAACTGATTTAAGTAAGTTGAGCAAAGATTTCCTGCAATTCAGATATTGTATTTATGTGCTTGGGTTCTTATTCTTGTCTCTAAAGGATCTCCCCAACGTGTTCCCACAAGCGCTTCTGGGCAGAGCTGCAATGGAACATCAAACTTGGAAGAGATTATCCTGGAAGCGACAAGAAATTCTTCTAAACTTCCTAAGAGGAGTTTTCTTGGATTGATGAATAGTTATAAAAAAATTAAGGTCTAATTTTTTCAATTAAACATTCCCATCAAAGTATGTAGTCTTTTTTTATACTTACCAGCTTATTTCTCTGAATTGGATGTCTTATAAACTCTCGTTAGGTGCTTTTTCCCTATGAAGATCTAGTCAAACTTTTTCAGAGTGAAGTCTCAGGCATATCACCAAGGGGTCTTCTCAATTGTGGAAACAGGTAAATGTATGTTAAGTTTTTTATTTTTAGTTTGTTTTCATTCGTTTACATGGTTTTAATTCTTGAGAAAGGTTAAGCTATAGTGAATTGATTATTGTTACATTTTTAAAGATTGTTGGATATGAATTTGAGGCTCATTTTGTGGGTACAAGAATCTCAGAGATTTGCATCATTCTTGGTGAATGGAACACCAAAAAATATTTATGCTAAATAATATATGTAAATACCCAACTTTTTTGCATGCCACTTCCCCACTTTTATGGGTTTTCAATAGCAAGTGCGAAATTATTTCTTTTTTACTCTCTAAACAATGTTGGGGAAGTGGATCTAAATGACGAGGGAGGGCCACATTTTTTGTTGCCGAAACTAATAAAGGTAGCATCTTGTTTGCTGAAAAAGATGCCTGTAAAAAAATAAAATGTTGGAGCTTTACTTAAAAAAGAAATATAACTTCTATCTTACAATTAGCAAGTATACACTAAAATTAAATTACTTTTAACAGATTATTAAGATTGATTTCATGTAAGTTATCAAGACTGTTTCTAAGAATTTCGGAAGTTTTTCAACATTAGTTTATGAAGCCTAGTGACTTTGTACTTTTTAATTGTGAAATGTTGTTCCTTTTACCGATAATTTCTGCAAACAGTTTTCCATTGTTTGATTTCTTTAACTTTTTTGTTGCAGTTGCTATGCCAATGCTGTTTTGCAGTGTCTGACATTTACAAAGCCTCTAATGGTCTACTTACTTCGTAGATCACACTCTAGATCCTGTAAATTCAGATTGTCAGACATTTTCACATACTGGCTACATATGGATAATATTATAATTATAGCCCCTGATTTTGTTTTTCTTTAGGTCGGATAAGTGATTGGTGTCTGATATGCGAACTTGAACGGCACACTGCAATGTTGTTGGAAGAAGGCGGCCCGCTGTCTCCCGGTAATATTCTGTCAAACATGAGGAGTGTTGGTTGTCGAATGGGTGGCGGAAAACAGGAAGATGCTCATGAATTTCTTAGGTATTGTGAATGGTACTCTTCAATTAATACTTTTGGATTTTCCTAACAATCTCTTTCTTCCTTTGTTTTGATACTCAAGTCTGTAAATGTTTCCTTCTGTAAAAACAAAATTGTTGGTATTGAACCAGGCTGTTAGTTATGTCTATGCAAGTTGTATGCCTTGAGGATCAAGGTGGTGAAAAGAAGGTTGATCCCGGATTGCAGGAAACTACTCTTGTACAGCAGATTTTTGGTGGCCGACTCAAATCTAAGGCATAATCTCTTTGAATTTAAATTCTTTCCCAGATTTGTTACTCTATTTTTTTTTTAGGGTTCGTTTGGGACAACTTTCGTAGTGCTTTTTAAAACGGCTTTCTAGTACAAAAATTTCAAATTCAAGAAATTTTTGTACTAAAAAGCTATTTTAAGCAAGAAAAAAGCTGACCCAAATGAAACCTTAATTAGTTTATCTGACTTTTTCACTTTGTTGAATTTAGGTTAAGTGCCTGAGATGTGATCAAGAGTCGGAGCGATACGAAAACATAATGGATCTTACGTTGGAGATTCATGGATGGGTTGAATCTTTGGAGGATGCCCTCACGCAGTTTACTACCCCCGAGGATTTAGACGGAGAAAACATGTATAGATGTGGAAGGTTTGGCATAGTCATTGCCCTTATGTTCTGAATATTTATGTGCTGTTTTTTAATTATCTACAAACCATTTTAGGTGCTCTGCATATGTTAGAGCAAGAAAACAGTTGAGCTTACATGAGGTGCCAAATATCTTGACAATTGTACTGAAGAGATTTCAGGTGACAGTGTTAGTTTATTCTTTTTTTTTTTTGAAAAATTGTGTTAGTTTATTCAGGTCTTTAAGAATGAACTCAAAATACTGCTAACTATATTGACATAGTTTTTTTTTTCTCTTGGGCTTATTAACTTGCAATTCTAATTACAAGCACAAAACTTTCTATTTCTGCAGCATTTTAGCTTATGAAGAAAAATTATGTGGGACTTGTTATTATCTATGAAGTTAAATTTTTGCTTACATTATGTTTCTCATTTGCATTGTCGATAATATATGATGAAAATATAAAAATCCTGCGGAATGTTTTTCTTTTAATGAGTAGTTTGATAATCGCCTCTTACGTATTTTTATCAGCTCTGATATGTTTTGATGTGCCAATGAGAAGAAAGTAGGGAAACAACAAATAATGCATTTTTTGAGACCAATTTTCAATTCTGGATGTAGGCTGATGGACTAACGTGAAGCTTCGTATAAGCAGACTTAAAAATAGGGTTAATAGTTTAGTTTTCAAATCGTTTTGCGTGGAAATAATCTACCACACAGCTGCTTACTGCCCATGGTTTAAAATTGCGCAATATGAGGCTCGCCTTTGCGCAATTCCAGTAAAAAATGCCTCGATGCTTACGCCACGAGTTTTTTTTTATGAGGCTTGCGCCTCAACTTGGTTGCAGCCCGCCTTGAGGCCCGCCCTCGCCTCACTGGCATGAGGCTTACGCCTCACACTATATATATTAAAACTTACATAAATCTTGAAGTAAATGCCCGACATTGGACTCTATAGGAGAGGAGGAAGGGGAGAGAGCAGTTCACCATAATGATGATTCAAATGAAGAACCCCTTGGTGATGACAGTGCTGATGACTTATAAGTTCTTATGTGATATGTTATTGCTATTTATTTTTGGAAATCAGAAGTATATGTTAATCAAAAGAATACTGGGATTTTAGAAAGATAGAATTTTGAGTTGAACTATATTTCATGTTGTCTTACTATTGAGATATTTTGATTTCACTTCATATCTTATGCTTTTTTATGTTTTATATAATTCACTCATTAGTATATAACAAATTTATCATTTTATGTTTACGCAATCTTTTGATTTTGAGGTTTACGCCTCAAAACGCATTGAGGCTTACGCCTCGCCTCACGAATGAAAAACGCCTCAATACCTGAATACGCAATTTTAAACATTGTTACTGCCAACTGATCACTTTTAATCTTCATAATGCCTTGAGCCCTAATTAGTTTTATTATTGACTAGCTTATCGATGGGCTAACTGTTAAGTAGAGGGTGCAGCTTATTTTCATGTAGAAAAGTGTGGCAAGCGGGACAAAGGACAAGTCGGTGGTAGATGGTTTGTCCAACTATGTGTGCTGATTTGCATGAATACTTGGAAAAAAGCCACTGATGCGTGCATATTGGCCAACATTTGACTTAATTGTCTGATAGACATGGAGAAACGTGTCTTGCATTTTTTTTTAAATTTGGGTGTATGTTTTGATGAGTGGCTTTACCCTTAGAGATAGGATACGAAATGAGCATATACGTGAAAAGGTTGGAATAGCTCCAGTAGAAGATAAGATTAGAGAAAGTCGCCTTAGATGATTTGGTCACATAAAACGGAGGCCTTGCGATGACCTGGTTAGGAGAGTAGAGGTATTAGATTTGACTTATGTTAAGAAAGGTAGGGGTAGACCTAAAAAGACTTGGTTAAAAAATATTAGGAATGACCTTTCTTTATTAGATTTAAACGAGAATTTGACTTTTAATAGGACACAATGGAGAAAAAGGATTCATGTAGCCGGCCCCACGTAGTGGGATAAAGGCTTGATGTTGTTGTTGTTGTTATGTTTTGATGGGTCATTGTCACGAGCAGTATAGAAAAATCGTCAATTACCGGCGGAAATGAGCAATTTTCTAGCGGAAATTAGGTTTTCCGGCAAATTTTTTCCCCCAATATAAACAGCATAGGAAATGCAAACTAGCGGCTTATTTCCTGGAACTTTCCGACGGTTTTACGTTGTGGTTGTAGCAGCTGTCAGATCGGCAGCTGATGCAAAGTATCCGTCGGTATTACCGGCGGTTAAACCGTCGGAAATTACTGTCATGTAGACAACCGCTGGAGATTTCCGACGGCAATAGCCACAGCAATAGCTCACTTAAAACTGGCAGTCATTCTGCCGGTAACGATGTCGAACTTATCAAATACCGACGGTTATAGACCCACCGGAAATTCCTGCATTCAAACTGCCGATTATTATGGGTGGTTAATCCGCCGGCTTAATCTTCGGAATTTTCGGAGGTTCCAGAGCTGCTAGAAATTCCGCCAGTGTTTGATGAATTTTTTGTAGTGAGGCAGGAAAGCTACATGATTTGTGTTGGATATTTGTTATATTGGGTAGCCTGCATTCCCATGATTAACCAGGCTAGGGTTGTCAGTTGGATAGAGCTAGTCCATTTGATTGTAGAGCTAAACTGTGGTGAGCTTTATTACATTATACTAAATATGTTAATTGGTGTAAGTTAACCATGTATAATAATCATTTATTTAAAATGGCTTAAACAATCGGCCCATTAAATCTTGCTAGGGACCCATTTAAGCCCTTATTTCAAATAAAACATTAGTTAAATTCTTTTTTTCAACAAGTTTATTTTATGAATAAAGAAAGCAAGATTTTTAATGCAGGGAAAGCCCCAAAATATAACAAAATGATAAGAAACATCTACAAATGCTAGAAAAGGGCTATACTTTAATATTGAATCTTATTCTTTGGTCTTCTTAGTTGGTTAGGATGATAATTTTGCTTAAAACTCAAAACTTATTCAATAATCTCTTGTACTTTAGTAGATTCAAAATTAAAATTGATTTTATTGGACTCATGGATGACCCGCTTGAAATTAACTCAATTCAACTGTAAACTGACCTGATATATGATAATTTTGCCTGTTTATATTTCACTTTTCACTTACAAACATATATAGTAATGAAGATCATAGAGTTTCATAGAGTTTATACTCTGAATAAACATCAATTGTATAAGTGATAGGGCCGGGATATGATTTTAGTTTATTTTTTTGGCCTTTTATTTTACAAGTTTCAATTTTAGGAACATGACTAAGATGATTGTCTTCAAGAACAGGATGCATTATGTATTAATTTGCTAATTTATTTTATAGTTGATCTCAAGTTCAAGTATTGTAATTTTGTTCACTATTTTGGGTTCTACAAGCCATTCTACTATTTGATAAGTTTGGCAAGTGGATTGTTTTCCATGAATGGAGCCTTACTACAATTTCTCAATCTTGGGGGTTTTTCTTCTTCATGGTCCTGGAATATAGTATTATGCCTTGGATAAGGTTGTTGCTTTTCACATTATATAGCGGATGGGTTACTTTCATCCCTCGTTGGCTTGAAAGCAGGGCAAATCAGATATCTTTCATTTTCTACAGTGAATTTAGAGAAACTATTTCGAGGGAATAAGTAAGCCAAAGCCTTTCCCCAAAATATTAAGTGAGATTGACTCTCCTTTGGAAAACGCGGTTCATGCAGCCTTTCAGGATGAAGTCTCTCAAGTCTTCCGGCAATTCCATACGTCTAAAAAGAATTTTTCTTTCGACCAATGGTTAATCAATTCGGGAAGCTCTCTCCCTCTCTAAGGCTTTGTTTGAGACAGTTTTTTATTGCTTCATAAAGTAGCTTTCTAATACAAAAATTAAAAATGTTTACTAAAAAACTGCTTTAACAAGCAGGAAGAAAGTCGTCCCAAACGCAACCTAAACGACAGAAAGAAAGCTTGACTCTAGCTTCAACCTGACTTATTCAGGGGGATTAAAAGAAGACTCTTTTTTGAAAATGTTTTATAGCTATCACTCAAGTTGGGCCTTGGATAATGTTGTTACTATTTACAATTTTTCCTTTCCCTATTTCTCTATTATTTGTTACACGTGGTTCACCTCCCCGGGTGTTCAATTTCTAGATGCAGTATACCATAAAAGACCTGTGGTCTTCTATTTTCAACATGTGGTCGCTAATCTAAGTAATATCAATTGGGATTCAATGGCGACATTAATCCATGGAAAATGATATTTTATATTTGAATTTTGGATTACTTCTAATTGAATTGGGTTGATTTTGTGTCAATCATTAATATTAGTCTAGATTATAAAGAGTCCATAAACAGTGATCTATCACATGTAATTCATTATTTTTGGCTTAAATAAAATTTCTTTTAATTTTCAATGTTGAATGTTCAAGTTGGATGTGTGATTCCTTCAAGCATGATAGAAACGTGACTACATGATTTTGGGGGATGCCATTTTCTTGTGTCAGTGTGAGGCCTAATTTTTCTCTTGTTTGATAAGTTTGTTCCTTGTGCAATTTTTTAACATAAATTATTTTTTAGTAGCTTAGTGCTCTTAATTTTAGTCAACAAGTGATGTGTCAGAAATTGATTTTTTGGAAATTAGTTTGTTGGTTTCTGCTTTTAATAGTTTTAAAATTCTTGCAGAAATTATTTGATGTTTATGATCAATTCATTATAAACTTAAACAACTACTATTGCGTGCTTTCATTAAAACAGTGAGATTTTGGATTGATTGGTAACTTGTAATTTAAGAATCATAAAGTATTTTTTTTGTTGATGTGAAAGCATACATGCCATATTGATTGCATTAGGAAACTCATCTCGAGTCATTCTGCATTAAATTTGTGTCAAAGCTTATGGTTGCATTGTCTTGTAAACTAAATATAGGACATTAATTATGACATTTAAAGATTAATTAATTGTGCATTTTAGACAAGCTGAAGTAAGTTGTGATTCTAGACACATTATAATTATGTTGAAGTTCAAAACTACATTCTTACATTTGATAGAGGGAACATGATCTTAACAAATTTTTAGGATTGATCAATTATTTGGAAGAGTTTTTTTATATCATCATTTATTAACAAAATTTTAGGATGCAATGAAGAAAAAAAATTCATGTAGCTAAACCCACATAGTA